CACAGCTGTCTGTGGTCTTCAGAACTGACTCCAGGACCTGTTTCAGCACCTCCACACTTCCCTTTCCTTTCCTCAGGTTTTACGTTTGACTCTCATTCCCTGACTGATGCCACATCTTTGGGTGTTGTCAGCTAACATTTTAGTGGTGATGGTTCTTAAATTTGAAACTAGTTGTGAGAAGCAGAAGCCCCTTTGTCAATTTGCTTTTAAGCACCAGCCAAGCGTGCCAGTTGTGTGTGTGCTAGGTGCTGAGGATAGAGATAGATGAGACGAGGCAGACTTCTGGGAGTCTACATTGAGGGCTGAAGACAGACATAGTAAAGTCATGACAGTGGGGAGGGTATAGCTCAGTGGTAGGGTGCATGCCTAGCATGGACAAGGTCCTGGGTTCACTCCCCAGTATCGCCACTTAAAATGAATAAATAAACTTTATTTATGCAAAAAAAATTTTTTAAAGGGCAAACAAATAAATAAACGTAATTACCCACCCACCCCACCCCCCGCAAAAAAAATTTTTTTAAATAACAAAATATGGGAAAGGCTTTCAGGTGTGTATATAAAATGCTGTAAGTCTAGAGCAGCTACATCTGTTGCTAAAGAGTATGTGAAAGGAAGGATGCAGGGGAGGGAGGAAAAGAAGGGAGAGGAGGGAGGAAGGAAGGGTTGGCAGCAGCGAGGGGCAGGCTGGCCACGGGCAGAGGTCTGAGAAAAGTGAGCTAAGAAGTCACCGCAGACAGCTCACCACTGCCTCGCTTGCACTTTTCTCTGTTGCTTTCCATATTTAGAACCTCTCGTGTCAGTCCACGTAACTGGCAGCCTTTTCTCCTTTAGATCTATTCTAAGGCACTAAGAAATGAGACTCTTTACACTTCATTTCTCTTCCGTCAGAGAAGAGGCTGAGGTTACGTGCCCATGCACGTCACCACGACCTCATGACAAACGCACCCATTCTGGACCCGGCTGTACTTTTCCCTTTGATGCAGGCAGTGAGGGATTATTAAATGGCATTTCATTCTGATCTACTGGCTAGATGTTAGTCATGGCATATTTTAGAGGAAGCCTGAAGGGAGTTTAGACAACAATGTCACTCCAAAGTCAAGGAAGCCATTGCACAAAATGAATAACCTCCCCGTCTCCTTCGCTGTTATTGATCTGCTGGTGTCTTGCTTTGACCTGTGCTGTCTTACTTTTTGCTGCTAGTTACTTTAAAACCTAAATTATAATTTGGGGGGTTAATGTCCAGGGTTGTTGTCTTTGAAGCAGGATTGATCACCTGGCTGGCTATAGAGAGATCTTTTTAGCCTAGACTTTGTTTCTGACTCATTGTGATCATCTGGGCAGATCATTTAATCTCTCTTCTTTCCTGCCATCATCACTGTTTGTTCGGAAGCCTTCTCGCCAAATCATTGCTTTCTTATTCCCAGTGTTTCGGAGGCTTAACAGATGATGTCATTCAGTAATCCTTGATATGGAATCAAAATATTATTCTCTTTGGGTAGTTTCAAAGTACCTTATCTTCTGTTTCTGCTTTATAACTTCAACCTTCCCCTTTCCCAATCTTCTCAATTTCATTGCTTTCTACATTTTAGCTTTTCTCTCTGATTCAGCTAAGCCACTCTCCATTATAATGCAGCATCTTTAATGGGACCCATTCCCAGCTAGTCTTTTGAAATGCAATTCTGTGAATATAATTTCTCCTTTTCTAACTATGGCTTTTAAAGTCTGTTAATGTTCTAATATGAAGTCATTCATTCGAATTTAATAATAAGATGAAAAACATATCCTCTACATGCACTCTTAAAACATTGTCATTGGATAAGACTAGTGCGAAAGTCCTATAATAGTATTGATATAATTTAATAATAGCTGTCATTTAAGGCTATCCTCCATGTAGGGCATATATTATAATATTTAATTCCTATACAGGCATACCTTGGAGATATTGCAGGTTTGGTTCCAGACCACTGCAATAAAGTGAATATCATGCAGTAAAGCAAGTCACATAAATGTTTTGGCTTCCCAGTGTGTATAAAAGTTATGTTACCCTATACTGTCACCTATTGTGTGTGTGTGTGTGTGTATGTGTGTAGGAGCAGTTTGGAGAAGAATGTCTCCATGGCGATGCTAACAAAGCCAGACCCCCAGAGTGGGATCAACAGCTGCATGCTGGGAGCAGGCCAAGGCTATGACTAGGTCTTTGGGAAAGGAGAATGGGCCCATGGTATTGGGGATGAGTGTGCTGGAGCTTTCCTCCAGGCACAAACAGGGTGGGAAACAGGCCTGGCCTGTGTGAGGCCAAGCAAGTTGGGGTTAAGCCATTTTTCTTTTATTTTTTCAATCCTCTCAAGTTTCTTTATACCCTCTCTAAAATTCAGACACTTAAACAGTCCCAGGAGGGGAAGAAGGGCATGGTGGCCAGTGTTTATGACCTTTGGGTGCCTTTCTTTTTCACGCTGTCTATGGTCTGAGGATCGTTGACAAGGTTGGACTATGGTAGGAAGGCCTCCTGCTTAAACAATTAAGAGGTAGCTCCTTCAGAACTTAGAATTGTCTTAAATATGCAAATATCAAGTTCTGACACCACTAGGCAAATTACAGCTTAATTTTGAATATTTATACATTACATGTGTAACCAGTTCCTTGAGTT